ATAATAATAATAATAATAATAATAATAATAATATTTTGGTGGAGTTTTGTTCTCTGAGCTGGATGGTTTGGTCGTGAAGCTCTCATCGTTCTTCTGAACGACATCATCAGCACAAACTTGAGATAGACTTCTATCCAGCTCAGAGAACAAAACTCCACCAAAATCATCCACCTGAGCTACAAATCTTCTCCACCATCTCAAAATAATAATAATAATAATAATAATAATAATAATAATAATAATAATAGGTTTGTATGTATCATTACCAAGGTTTGATTTGATAATTTCGAATAAATTGAGCATTAGGTAGATTGTTATAAATAAATAAATAAATAATAATAAATGTGAATTGTCTGATTGTAAATCGAAGCGAGAATAGAACGTATCATGGCCAGCTGGGATATTTCGTAATTCAACGATTATTTTGTATGCTTCACTTTCTGTGATGTTCTTTGACCTGGTGTACGTAAAATGAAGACATTCTATTATCCATGGCCGCAGATCGTTCACGTGACTCTTCAGGCTTCCTGGTTCTGATGTTTTAGATGAGCTGAAGCATCATATGGAAGTTCTTACTCCAATCTCTATAAGGCATACTGTTCACTAAGTATTAATCTCATTACTTTGACTAAGTTTTTTGGCCTAGAATGTTGTGATATCACTCTATCAACATATACCGTCGTACACTGGAATGGTGAAAGGAGCACTTGCTAATTACACCAAACAGATTAACAAATGGTACGGCTTTTAGGTTGTTTGTACACTTTTAAGTGCGAAATCTTTCTTTACAGAGTAGTTCGTACATATACACAGCTCAGTAATAAAAAGTGAAGTAACTGTGCGCTCCAATCGCTCCATTTATTCTGTTAACTATATATATATATATATATATATATATATATATATATATATAAATCTAATAAATTACACTTCATGTAACATAGTATGTAGCATAAAACAAACTGTACTGCACCGTATTATATTATATTTAATGTATTTATTTATCGGTGTTTATGTGTTACCATTATCGTATAAATAAATATGCATTTTTGTGTAATATGTATGACCTCATGAGGACATATATATATATATATATATATATATATATATATATATATACTTCAGTTCATTGTTTTACCTCTCTCGCTCTCATCCTGTGCACATATATCAAATGTTTTGCCTGATTGATCTATATTTTGCATAATATTCGACCAGATCAGTTTAGTTCTGTTCAGTTCACCTCAGTTCATGTTTAAGTATGTAGACATTGCATTTTTTCCTACGTATTCTATTCATCTTCTAAGGTTTTTGTACACAAACTCATCCATCCACATCTTTCTACATGCTCATACATATGCTTGCAAAAACTTTTGGATGCGTACATTCAATGGATTACTATCAATAATATTGCTTGTATAAGCTTATGGAACAAACAATAATTTTTGATCTTTAATTTATAACTTTATTCCGCAATAGAACTCTTATTTTAGAAACAAGAATGTCTTGTTCATATTATAGTGTTGAAATTATCTATTCATTTGCTCTATTTATTTTATATTCTTTAATTTCGATACAGTATTGTCTATGAATAATAATTAGATGGAGTAGTAAGAATATATGTATTCAGTTTTGCATTATCTATAAAAGTATATCTGTTTATTGATAATAAGACATAGTTGATGTATCATTTGGTCATTTTAGTAACATATTTGTTGATTGAACTGAACAATCCAAGTGAAAATACTAGGAATAATAACAAATATTAGATTAATTTTTCACATACGACTATCATTTAAGAAATACAATGTATTTCATTTAACACAGAAAGCTTTATTTTCATATTTGGATTCAGTACCGTGCATCCTCTTGATATCTTCTTTCTGGTAATGGAAATTTATTTTTATGGCGTTTACTATGACCATAAAATTAGTTAATCAGTATTTATGGTAGCCAATCGTTTTACGTGAAACTCAACTGTATTCAATATAATAGTCATTTTTCGATGGTTCCATTTTTGTATTTTCTCAAGATGTCTACATTTCTCATTGTTATTTTTTCTGAATAAACATAAAATTACCAAGTGTATATAGTTTCATTTTAACTAAATTCATTAATACAACTGATATAAGAAATCATGATGCTATCATTCACGTACTATCTTCATATAACTATGTAGTAGGATAATATCTACTTACCATTTGAATGATAAGTTAGTAGCTACAGCATTCAGCTTTTGACTATTGATTCGAACAGTGACTTACTTATTTCGATCTGAACAGAGGTGACTAGTATTGTAGTGAACAAAAACTCAGGTACGGTAAACCAATTTATTGTTTTATGCAAAACCACACAGTGGATTTGTAAAATCTGAAAATTGTGCATTAAGTACATCATCTGTACATCTTCCTTAAGTTGTCATTTATATACTCCGTCATTCTTCTAATCCTGTTGTTATTCCGATTGCTCCCCGATTTCCATTTTATTCTCTTTATTTCAATCTTCTGCTGGTAAGCAAGCAATTCCATTCCAATTCCTTCTACGCACTACTTATGTCTGTCTGCATAAATAGCGCAAACTACAGTATCACTAATCCTTATGAAAAATGTTTGACTTCAAACCTCCTAGTACGTAAACGTATACTTGATTAGTAAGTTGCATTACTATTGAATTGTCTATTGTGTCCTTGACCCGGAAAATTACATTTGTACTGTTTGAGATGTAGCACTATCATTCAGTTCTAAAAACTATTACCATTGTTTTAGAAATGAATCAAAAGGTGTTATGATATGTACATGTATCACTTGTTTATGTAAAATAATTTTTAATCTAAATTGTCGATTATTTGGATATCTTTTGGAGTGAATAGAAAGATAATCGACTTTAACATTGTGTCGGATAGAAATGACTTGTCGCTTAAGTTGCTAAGATAATTGCTGATCTATGTGGGCTTTTTCATTCTGGTCGTATAGAGTTCAACTGGATTTTTTTTTTTGGTTTTCACATAATTCTTATTTTTCTAATTGTGTCATAATAGCTTTTTCTTTGAGTTCATAAAGTTACATATTGTGTTTGTGTGTATTGGTATTTACGCAGTCAATATTTATAATCTGATAGATTTATGTGACTTTATACACACTTGTTCTTGAATTCCCACTATCTCAAGACCTGTAATTGCTTAACTTGTTTCCTATGGGCTTGCAAAGTTTTTAATCCATTTTTCATTACTATATTGTTAATCACATCACATGTGTATGTTTTAACAATTTTCCAATGTCATCAGGCTTCGCTGCTGCTGATTTTGAAATCGCAGCTTTTCAAAGTCAAACGAACATAATTTTTTTAGACCTCTTGATTTTGTTTTGTGTTACCTGTTCTCCTTTGGAGTTGCCGGCTGTAAAATTGACACTTAAAATCACATTGTGAAGATAACCCATCTTTTTCAGTCTTCAATAAAAGTGCGATATCTAGCATTTTTCGTTCAGCTAATGTGCCAATGCCTCATATAACAGTGTAGTTTTTGTTATGAACTTCGTTTTAATCAGCTTAAGCTGTCCACATATGTCTTCTATAAACACGCCACTGTAGCTCATTCCAACTTACCGGATGAAAAAAACAAAAAACAAATGAAATTTCCAGTGACAATTATGATCTCATATGCTATGTATACTCACTGAATGAACAAAAAAAAACTAGATATTGCACAAATTCACAGACATATCCAATCCTCATACCGATTTTTAAAAAAGTTTAAAAGGAAGACATTATTTAATAAAAGTGCTCCTTTCGTGATAAGCTATAGTATTATGTTATTGGTTAAAAAAATCCTGTTGTTTAAAAAACTTTGATTACACCGTTAGATGATAGTGGTTAACACTGAAATATGAGACTCCCATTTTATCTTATTAGGAAATTATCATTTGAATGTGCTTGTATCCCAGTGTTGATGTATACATTGATACATGACCCCTAGTTACTATCACTCTAAGCTTCAAAATACACTATCCACTAAGCCACTGAATCCCAAATACGATCGAACGTGGATTCTGGATCTCATTGCCAATCACTATTATAAACCTATAGTTACGATTACTATATCGAAGAGTTCGATAGTAGCCCATACTCCAATAAAGACCAACTCGAATTCAGTCTTCAATGCCAACAACTGGAAAACCCAAACCTTTACTGCTACTACTACTACTACTACTACTACTACTACTACTACTACTACTAATAATAATAATAATAATAATAATAATAATAATAATAATAATAATAATAATAATAATAATAATAGGAGGAAATACTGTCGAATAAGTTAGGTTGTTATTTATAGATAGAAGCATTTTGTTGTTTGTCTTATATAGGTCAATGAATAAATTTTGTTGATAGAACAACAATATCATGTAGATATACAAATTATTACTAAGGTATAATCCCGATATGTATATATATAACCTAGTAATCGTTGACACCGTGTTGAATGTTTGGCAGTCAGGAGGAGGTTACCAGGTTTGTCCTAAAAATTTACTACCACTAAATAGTTATAATACTAATCAAGCGAATGCAAACAAATGAACCTTTAGTCGTGTATACATAAAAAAATAATAATTTTGAGTTCATTTTCTTTCTCTCTGTTGTATGATTCTTTTTATTCCTCTTTCTTATTGGTTTTGTGTTTTAATTAATAATTGTGCTCAGCAGCGTTGATGACCATTGGTGTTTATTGTCGTATAAATTTATGCGTAAGCACACATACGTGCATGTGTGTGATATATTGTTGATTACTATAATAATAATTATTAAAGCTATTAGGCTTTTTTAAACCTATGGTTGAGTCTGTTTTCATCATATATATATTGGATATTTGATAGCAGCGATGTCTATTTGTTTAATCCATTGGATATTGTTTCTATCCTTTGTATTCTAATTCACCATTTTTTGTGTTTCTGATGGATTACTTGGTGTGATTACTAACTGGACTTATATCTTTTTATTACCAGCTTCCCGGTACTACTACTATTACCACTGCTACCACCACTAACACGAATACTACAACAACAGAAACATTGAAGTCAATGAGTTTATCATCTTCATCAGCATCATTGTTATCATGTTCTACTGGGATGCGTTCTTCTAATCCAGATTTTGTTGATTTGTCAAATTCAGATCCGAAGCGTTTACGTTTATGCTTTACAGACATAAATAGTACTATTTTCGCGACTGCTGCTAATTCCACCACCACCACCACTACTACTATTACTCCTACTACTGCACATGTTGACATCAGTGTATGTAATGAAACAAGGGAGCTGAATAATTATCAACAATTTCCGTCTTATCTGTTAAATGATTCTTATGATCAATGTTCACACTATCAAGTTAATAATAACAATAATAATAGTCGAATCCAATCACATGTTAAAATCTCTTCTCCATTAATATCGATTCCATCATTAACAAAAGGTGTATCTTCAACATCATCTACAAGTGTTTGGTATCCATCATGCCTTGGAACTGTAAATTCTTCTGAACCATCTTTTGTCCCAACATCATCGGAACTACATGACTCGTCCGTAATGAATGAATGTTCTAGTTATCTTCAAATTATGGACGCAAATTATCATCCGTTATTAAAAGATACTCCCCGATCGACGTCAGTTTATTTAAATCCTAATCTTCCTACTTCGTCCTCATCAGTTATCCATCCTTCAAATCTTGTACTACAAAATGTCCATGATAGTCCTAGTCATGGTGATAGTTCTTGCAATAGCAACACATCTATTGTTTCTACTCCTGGTTCTGCAACTGTAAATACTACTTCTCCTGTCATTAACAACAACAGTGATAGTGCTTCACAATTGTCGTTACATACCGATAATCCTAGTCAATCTATTCCACCGTTTTGTCATAATTCTCAACAAAATTCTAAATTACATTTAGTTTATAATCAACCACATTCTAGTTTTTGTAGTCCAGTTGTTTGTAGTTTATCTGAATCATCCAGCTTGAATTTATGTGGAAATATGCTCAATACTACTACTAAATCTACAAGTAACCCTAGTAATTCATGTTTACCTTTTAATTTCGATAAAAACAATTCATCTTTTCTCAATGATAATGGTATTAATAATCATTTGTATTCACTAACCTCTTCTATCCATGATAGCCAGTATCATCAAAACATACGACAACAAATAAAAGCTCCACTTATTGTGCCTCCTTCACTTCTTCCTTCTCTCCCTTCTCTTTCTAACCATCCTTATCCCCAATTGACCAATGAGCATTTGATGAATACTACCACATCACATACACAAATGATGATGAATTCCACCTCAATCAATCAATCAAATTCCACAGATTTTATCGAGACTGAATCAATAAAAACAGAGCGTGGTGAATCAGAAGGTGGAGGATCAAGTGAATCTGAAGTATCTGGTGATTATGGTGGTGTCAGAACTGGTGATAATTTAAGAAGTGCTAACAATCACAACAGTAATAATAATACCTATTCTACTGCTAGCAATACGAACAATGGAAGCTTTAGATTGATCAATAATGAATTATTAACAAATAAAAAATATGATTGTAACATTGATGAGATTCCAGATGATGATTATCTGACAGGTGATGATACTGATGGGGACGATTGTACAGATAGTACTCTTGATGATGAAGAAGATACTGATTACGATGAGGTGGACGAGTATGATGATGATGATGATACGGAAAATGATATTGATGATCCTGATAGGGATTTTGATGATGAAGAAGATAGAGAAGATGATGAACTCAGTGGTGGTGGTTGTGGTGTTACTAGTATAGGAGGAGCAGGTGGAAGAGATATCCTTGAGATGTCTGAAGGTACTGGTCATTCTAGTTTTACTTGTTCCACGTCATCTTACCATAAATCAGAATATGAAAGTGAATCAAATCATACTGGTGCTACTACTTCTCATCTTAATACTACTATTTCTTCTTCTACTACCACTAATACTACTGATAATAATGCAAATAAAGTTACTAACTATGGTAACAATAATGAGATTTTATTTAAAAATAATTCTACTACCCATGCAAATGACTTTAGATTCGGACAGATATTTACAACATCGATAGAACATGATTACAAAGTTGTGGAAGTTGTTCAAAAATTTATCCCTGTAAGTTTCAGTTTCGATTATTATTATTATTATTATTATTATTATTATTATTATTATTATTATTATTATTATTATTATTATTATTATTATTATTATTATTATTATTACTAAACATCATTTCGTGATTTCGATGGTTTCAAGTAGTATTAATGTTCGGTGATTGAAGGGAACTACTCGTAAACTAGTCGCCAAGACTTGTCTGCACTTTCGAGGGGATTGATACTTCCACTGAGATTCAAACTCATATCACAACAGTATTTGTATCACTATTCCATTCATCTATTGGGAAAATAGTCCAGTGAACTGGTCATATCTCTTCATATTTATATGTCCAACCCCATTGAATTCAGTCTGCTTAAATATAATTGTCTTAATTTTTATTGCATTGCTTTAGGCTCTAGGTCTTAGCAAATGATTTGTATTTATTAAAAGTACGAATAGTCAGTTACTCATGATTTTTTTACTGGACAAATTCTTTTTAGAACTGTGTGGTTTTTTTGTATCATTAAGGTCTATTAAGTGTTCAGTGATTTTTTACAAGTATTCCTAGAATTTACTGAAATTGTTGACTAGATAATGCCAGTCTCATGCACATAGTTTCTTACAAGATAGAACATTCGATCAAGGAGTATAGTTTAGTACACGAACGTTTTACGATCACATGTTGTAATCTGTGCTGATTAGACACACGAAATCCTTTTGTAAAAAGATGGTACAATCGTCCATCACAACTCCTGAGCTAAAGTGTATTTGTCACCTCCCAATTGCTAATGATTTCTCCAGAACTTCTTTGAACCTAATTTAACACTGAGAAGACTAGATGATTTGATTTTCTTGCCGTTTTCACTCACCTAAGAAGTTTTGTTAGTGTTAACTCCTGATCAAAATAATCTCCGATTATTCTAAGTGACCCCATTTGTTCGTATAGAAACGTCACATGTACTGTGAATTACACGTTCAAAGACTTATTACATAAGGTACTAAAAGTCAACATACTAAAATTCACAAATAAATCCAAATGACGAGTTCGAAATAATAAAAATACACCTGTTTTTCATTCCCAACTACTACTCAAAATGGATTTGTTCAATTTTCTCTTCCGAATTGCAAAGATTTCCATAACGTAATAAACTATTTAAAAGTGTATTACAATTCTTGTATCAATCAAATGTTTAGATATATTTTCTTTTCCCTTATGTAGAAATTAAAATGCAGTCTCTTTGAATTATGCTCATTTTTAAAATCCGAAAATCTCGAACTGACGAATAGCAGTACTACCACAATACTATCATCCTCTTCCTCTACGTCATTATCACGAAACGAAATAATCAGTGAACGCATCAATAAGGAGCCTGTGTTAATGTTTAGAGAATCGTCTGTAGGAAATTTTTCAAATCCCATCTTGCCATTGTCACCATCATCACTTGTACATGAATCACAGCCGCATAATAATGATATTGGTTCTCAGGTAAAATCAGTTAGTCATTTTGACTCGGCTGAATCCAGTGTGCCAATCTTTAAAAATAATAAAGCAAATTGTTTTCCAACACTTGGTACTTCTTCTCCTTCAACTGCTCAAATAAATGAAAATAGTACTACAATTATTAATCCCTATTTAGACGATTTATTGTCTTCCTTATGTTCATTATTAGAAACGTGTTTATTTTATTTGGTGGATTGGATGGCTCAAATTGAATCGTTTAAAGTATTACCGGTGAGTTGTGTTCATGTTATTGTTTTTGTTTTTTGTTGGTTTTTTCCATCCTATTACTATTACTTGTTTTTTGTTTTCCATATTGTTACCAACTAATATTTTTTACACCTAACATCACGAAATGGTCTTAGTTAAGTAATCATTGAGAACCAAGAAGCATCAGATAGCTGTTTCGTCCTAGCTTGAGACTTTTTAGCAGTACGCATACACAACCCCGTCACTAGGAACCGAACCAAGGATCTTTGGTCCCCAGACCACTGAGCTCCGAATTCGATGGTTTGCATTCCTAACTTCAATCAATTTGTAATACTACGTGCAACCATCTTCCAATATACCTGGTGGGTAACTGTCTATTATATAAATCGAATTTTTTATTAGAAAAAGGTTGAGTGGGTATCACTGGTTAAGGAAATAACTTGTTTTAAAACTAAAATAAGGATAATAAAATGTAAATAATATTATCATAGTTATTTATAACCAATCTAGGACTTGGCATATATGTTCGCACTACATATTGATCAATCTGCCACACCCTGTCCGCACGATGTAATGAAATTAACAAGATAGATAACGAATTGGTTGCAATACTAATAGTGTTTTTGTTCGTTAGAAAAAGCCTAAATATGTAGTTTGAAGTTAGTTATTTAACGACGAGGATTGATAGGACTAAATAATATCGCAACTCAAGGTTTTGACACCAATGAAGAATGAACACATCTGCGCCACTGTAACTTATGTTTAGCTATGCCATCTGAGGTCTATGGCAATCGTTCACAATTATCATATGAATCTCAACCAGGAAGTCTACTTTTATCACGATTAATCAGTCTAACGGCCTCTGCTTTCTTGGACACGTACTAAGTTTTGGAATAACTACTCCCAATTTTCAACATGCTCCAGCCCACATTGTACATCAAAGTAGACAGTTGTTGCGGTCACGCGTAATGCATATCCCAGCCATTATGGTCAATGAAATACATAGCCTTATTAATTATCTGTCATCATTATATTGTACCTTGACATTTAATCGCCAGCATTGCTCACTAACGTGATACATTCAATAAAATTTTTATCATAGAAAAAGCAATACTTATTCGCATTTGTATTCTTGCATGGAATTTTCTCAATCTTCATTTAACAAATGTACGTGTATATTAATTTTCACTATGGCTTTTTTCTACTTTACATTTGTGTGTTGAGAGAAATATCTATTGATAAAATATTATTACTATCATTAGCTTATTGAACTGTTTCATTCATGTACCTTCTTTCTTTTAGATAATTCTGTTTTTTATCATTATCTCGTACAATTACAAATTCATTTTCTCACCATCACCTCCCACCACTTATACCACTGTAACAATAATTATTGTTCCTATTGTTGTTTTAGTTGTCATTTTGTCATGACTACTTCAGTGCTTCTTATTTTGCATAATAAAAAGTAGCTCTCCTCCACAATTTGTTTATTTATCTCTTCCTCTGTTTAAAAAAGAACAAAATAACGCAACAATAACATAAACGACTTGCTTTTCAAACACTGTGGGTAATGTATTGTTATGTATGTTATGATAATAACTATTATTTTTGTTATTATCTGACAACAGTAATGGACAACCCAATCAATAACGTATTGTTATTATGCAATTATGCGATTTTTTCCATATCGGGAAATTTTTCCCACTTTAAAAAGGTGTATATGTGTGGTGATAAATCCAGTGGGATAAAACAAAAATAAAGAAATGGAAATAATGGTTAATAATAATAGTGATAATAATAAAGGATTAAATGCAGAAAAAGTTATTAAATAGGCATAAAGAATGAAGTACAATCTAGAAGAAAATACATTGATTCATTACTTGTAAATGAATATTAATCTTCAAGCCTATATCCTTATGTTTTCTGTGTGCTGCATGAGGTTTGATTATATGAAAATCACATTGTTATTCTGGCTAACCTCATCAACTTCCCCACTTCAAATAGAGAAAAAACAGTGAAATTCACACCATCAAATCATCTAGCTTAGAAAAAGCAACACTGCCTATCATTTGAATTCCAAATCTGCTCTGTCCTTTCAGTATATTTACTCCATTTTCGTAACTATCTACCAATTACAATTATCCGCATATTAGCAACAGGGAGTGGTGGTGGTTACAACATAAGTAACGTAGATGCTAGCATTAATTGGTTTTCAAATAAAGCTCATTAGTATAATTATTTGGGATACAACAAACTTAAGAGTATAAATTGTCTAACATTTCTTATTGATAAATGTGATAAATGCACAATGCATTGTTAATTTTTCCCAATGCAATATATTCCCAACGCATATATATCTGGTGCCCCCTTGTACCAATATTTATGTGTTCAAATAAATAAATAAATAATGCATTTATTGAGAGGAGAGAACTTAATTCAGCAAATTATCCAGTCCCTTACTTCACTTTATACTTGCAGGTTATTATCTTTGTTTATTGCTAAACATTTTTTATGTGGTAATAGCATCTTACATATTGTTATATTTGATCTTTTGCTTTAAGTAATATGGAAGTGACTTTTTTGTTATTGTTTCATCTTCAAGTTTCTTTGTTTATTTCACACTTATTTAAAAATTTTCTTTTTTTACTTATTGTCAAATACTTCAATGTTCAAGAAAAATATACAATATACTTTGTCTAATTAGCCTTATTAAACGAAGTAATTGTAAAATCTACATTTATCAATCTTGACAATATCATCAGAGTTGATTTTAGCAAGAATCGAACTTTAGACTGCAGTTCATGAGTAGCATCATCTAAAAGTTTACGTTGATTGAACTTGAACATAATTTGTTCTTAATAAACGACTTTTTTTCTACTCATGTCATATGAATAGGTTAAGTTGATAAGATGGTACTGATTTGTAAAATCGCATTATCTGGGCAAAGAACTCAATACATCTATCAGATGCACTGAAATGTCGGATTATATATGTAGCCCAACGTGAGATTTGACTAGTCTGTTCATTGTTTGGGGAAAAATAACTAATATTATATACTCTCATGGGTCACTAGGTTTTCTTGTGGTTTGTCAAAAGTTGTACTAGTTTTATGTGAATTGGTTAACTAGAAATATACCAGTAAGGCAGTAAATTGATGTCTAAATTCTATTTATTGTTACAAATACATTATCATAACTATCCTATGATCCTTTTGAAAACAGATAAGGACTTTAGTTGTTGTCCGTGTAAGTTTGGGTTTAGTTGTTTTTTCTCAATCATGATGACGTGGGGTGTGGTGATTCGATCCTTCCTTTTCCATCATAATTGTACTGTGGAATGGCTAAGCACTATTTACATACTATCCAATCATCTGTTTGACAATATAAGTGATGAACTTCCTCAACTATTTCCATTCGCATAAATCATGTATCATGATCATAAAACAGAACCACATGGACAGATTGGTTTTTGTATTTGTTGTTTGACTCTTCCCACTGATTTTTAGGACTGCATATGTGCATCCTATGCGGATTACCTCGAACAGATCTACTGTATATATAAGATAGAAGAAACTGATTGTTTTATAACCATAGTTCAACGTACATAATAATGAGTCAAGTTTCTTTATTTTAACCTCTAATTATAAATTTTTTTCACCAACAATACTACCCAAAATAGGTCACTGTTTTTGGTCCCAGTAGGACTATTTTGAAAGTTAATCCTTATCACAAATTGACTGTAGCTTTAGAGCTACTGGGATTCACTCAATATCGGATTTCCCAGCAAAGTATTGAGTCGTGATCGTATGTGAATTTGAATTCGAAGAATTACAAGTGTCATAGTGAGCGCTCTACTTTCTAGCCCCATTATCAGTCTTTTTGGTAATAGGCTAGTGGTTGTTAAAGCATTTAAATCAAACCATTAAGTTCATACGTGCGAATGCCAGTTCATCTCTTTTGGTTTGAGTAGTCCGAAGTATTAATAATTGCCATCTAGAAAGTATGTAATTCAAATCTGAGTGTTATCCACAAATCTTTACTTCATAATTAAGTGATTTATATAATTTTCTTTTTACTTCCGTACTTTTAGGTTGAAGATAAAATGCAATTGTTGAATAGTAGTTGGAGTGAAATTATCCTACTAGAGTTTATTCATTTTTATGTAACACATTTAAATAATGCTAAACGAACAAATACAGTAAGTAATCTTGTTCTGTATTATTTCTCTCTACTTTCTCTTTAAATTTATTTATCTTTTTTGTAATCATGTTATCAAAAGACAGATTAATTTGTGCGGTTGTCTCTACTTTGACATAAACTCTCCCTTCTTTTAGATTAATGGGAATTCAATTGGTTTTGTTAAAGAAATACAAAATATAATTATTAGTTCCGTTTATGTTTTTCTTTGCATAGACATACTGATGATCGAAATGTGTTCTTTTAAACAAATGTTATATGCTGTTTATTGTATATATATATATATATATATATATATATATATATATATATATAATTGTTTCGGCCTATATTAAATAGTTGAATGAGTGCTACATTAAATTAGGCAAAACCTTCTTGACCTTGTATCCAGTCCCCAGCCATCTACTTAAAGTGGGAAGGTTGAGATTCCTCTACGTATTCTAAGCACCTGGGATCAACTCCATAAAGCTGGATTCGTGTATCTGAAAGAGGGACATTCATCCTCTTTGTTTTGCAATGACCCGCTATTTATCCCATGCATGAGCCACATATTATCTGCTTCTACACATTAATCCTCTTTCATGTTTCTCACTGTTCTGCCTACATCCTTAATGTGCTCGTTTATCTTTCAATTCATATGAATTTCTCATCACACTTGCCCGGATAACATTTTCCTCATTACACAATATATCCATATGGTTTTCACAACTAATATTATTATCGTTATTATTGACGCTATTAATCCAATGCGAAATTTTTTAAGCATATAGATTATAAATCAACACAGCTAAATTTTCAACCCCTTTCTTGAGTGACTTAATTTGAATCAACATTCTAACGACCGAATCATCTCATTGTAAACCCTCTTCGACAATACAAACCAACAAAAGTGAACATGTTAATTGGTTTGAAATTAGTTGAGAAGTACGTGTCCTTCTCTTCATGCCAGTTGGCATTCATCAGTAAGGTGTACCTGCAATCTTTAGTGAACCTATGCTGTCTGTGGTATTTATGTCAACTAGCACGAAACCTAGACCCATGGTTTCCTGCCAACTATTCTCAATCGCCAACATTTCAAAACAGTATATATGCGATATCTAAGCATGTGGACTAGATGGCGAATCACCGCTTAATCAAAGGAATTCAGTCATCAGTTAAGAACACGAGTAACATGACATTAGTCACTACACACTGATCAACCAATTGTAAAATTGAACATATTGGTATTACAGGTGACTGTACTTGACTCCCATAGCTGTTCTTTTGGCTAAAATTGTTTCCCTTTTCAAAAAAGATCATTTCAATCTTATCCACTTGATCCTCAAGTGTTTCTAAATCTTCGATTATCATTTGTTGCCATTATTATAATTATTTGGTGGTGTGTTCTAAAGAAAGTGCGTTCGACAGATATTGTATTACTAGCCGGAGACTTGAATCCTCAGGTCGGGCGTCTAGGCACAGAAGAGAGTCGTTTAGGTGGCCAATGGAGACTTGTTGGTCGCAGTACAGATAACGGGAACAGTCTACTGCAAGTGTGCACAGACCACAACCTGTTTCTGGCTAGCACTAACTTTCGGCACAGTCATCGCCGATGTGCCACCTGGCGTCCTCCCTCTGCATCTCAAGCCTGGACTCAAATTGATCACATCACGATCAGCTACCGCTGGGGTGGTTGTGTACAAGACTGCTGCTCCTTTTGGAGTACCTATCTGGTCTCTGAGCATGCCCTGGTCTGCGCCAATCTTACCTTACTTTTCAGTGGCCAACAAATTCATGGTCCTAAACGTATTGATGTCAGTAAATTGGTTACAACTTCTGTTGCAACTAAGAATCAAAACGAGCTAGCTTCTAGACTAGCTACCATCCCACCGAAAAATATAGGTGAGCATTGGTTACAAATTCATGACGCCATGAAAATGGTGAGCAAAGCCTCTCGCGGCTTCGCGAAACCTCCCTCTTATAAGCACTGGGTTTCTTCTGGCTTCTGATAAATCATTGAATCTAAGATCGTCGGTTTGCTCCGGGTGACCTTGAGTTTGACCACAAACGTCGATTATTACGTCATGAATTGGGGAAAAGCTTGCGTAAGGACCGAGAAGCCTGGTGGTCGGAGCGTGCCAATGAGTTGGAAGCAGCAACTGCATCTGGTAACTACCGGAAGCTCTTCCAACTCATCTGAGCCACTGGCAGCAAGAAGTCTGGTGTGAGTGAAACAATCTGTGAGGATGACGGGGTGCAAATCATCAACATCTGTCGATGTCTTGGACGATGGGCAGAGTTTTTTGAGGGACAGTTCAGCTAGTCTGCTGCCCCGGCAACATCGGTCAGACTGTCCTGCTCTCCATGGTCGATGACGACTGGTCCACCAAATGAGGCGGAAGTCCGCAAGGGACTCCAACTCTTGAAGTGCTACAAATCACCAGATCCAGATGACTTACCTCCGCCCATTTTTAAAGATAGTGACAGTCTTCTGGTTAAAGGAACTGACTGTGTTGTTTACAAAGATTTGGGAGCTAGAGAGTGTTCTAACATCATGGAATGAGTCGATAATCGTCCCTATCTTTAAAAGGCGATCACGTCACCTATGTTAGAACTATCAGGGGATGAGTGTACTTCCTATTGCGTCCAAACTATTGGCTTCCTTCATACTTCGTAGATTCTTCGAAACCCGGAAAAGAATGAATCGTGAGGAACAGGCTGATTTTCGTTTTGATTCGAGGATGTATTAATTATATCTTCACCCTTCGCCAAATGTTGGAACACTGTTATACTTATCACAAACCAACAGTCTTAGCTTTTCTTGAAATCGTGATTGCCTTCGATTCCAGTGGCAACACCATGTTAGTAATGCAGAGGTTCTGCATCGTATGATCGGTCACAGAGACGATAATTCAATTGGTGTCACTATCTTGAAACATCTACTTCGGTGGCTTGGACATGTTCTACGAATGTCGTCTCAAAGAATTCCATGTCGTGCATTGTTTGCCGACACTGGGACTGGTTGTAGAAAAGGGAAATGTGGTCAGTGTATGACATGGTGTTGTGGTATGAAAGAAAGCTGCAAAGGGCTGGCTTCTGTTGGTCCTCCACGACTCCCTGGTTGGGGTCCGAGAGATAGTGCGACACAGTGGTTAGAGACGTTATCAGAAATGGCTCAGAATACAAGCCATTGATGATCCTCCTTGAACCTTATTTTGCTTTCTTCGTAAAAAAGACGTAACTTCTCTCAGTGGAAGAATTATCTGAGGCTGTACTTTGCTAATTAAACTGCCCCTCCCATTATTGTTATTTCACTAATTTCTGTCCATTGTTTTACTTCTTTTTTCTTATACACACCTTAAATTTTTTATATCTACTCATTCTCATTTTTATTGTGTGGCGCATATATATCTGGTTCCCCTTTGTACCAATATTTGTGTGTTGAAATAAAATAAAAAATATGGTGTGTGTTACTTACGCGGACGAATGTTAGCATTATGTGTCAGTCAGACACAATGTATAACCTGTATGCATGTACATCGGTTCAAGTTGCCAAGCCCCATTAACACAGCGAGATGAGTTTGTCAGGCAAGATCCCAGAATAGTAGATGCAGTATCAATATCAATAGTAATAGGAAAGATTAAGGTCAAACATAAGACTCGCAAAGAAAATATAATTCAGTGAAATAACGAACAGGTTATGGGGAATTTGGAATCCTAGGATTTGGAGGAAGACAAAGAACGGATGCACCTGCGCAATTGTAAACTATGTTGAACCACGCCAAAGTCTCTAGCCATCGGTTATGATAATTATGCGGATCCCGACCAGGCAGTCTACACCTATTAGCATGGCTCAGCTCAATTGCCAATGACGTCATAGACTGATGAGACGTTTTGGTTTGACCACCCTTAGCTTTATTTCAGTCTGCTACACCAGAAAACATCTCCCATCGAAGTAGATGGTGATTAGGCATACGTCACACATATCCAAACTGCCTCATTTGGTGAAAATTTAATACCTCATCAATCGATTTCCCATATTTACCTAGTGCTCCATTCCTAAATCAGGCATTACTTACTCCGCGGTCCTAAAATGCACGAGCAACGCTTCGTAGACTCTAAAAGCGTGTCTATAACAAAGTCAAATAAAAAGGAGAAAGCGGACAACCTTGACGAATACCACTTGAAGTGACAAATTCCGAAAACAGTTCTTCATAAGCTGTGACTTGACCAGAATTTTATAATCAGTTAGCCTGTACAAGGTTGATGTACTTCTTTGGGACCCCTATCAATGACAAACACTGCCAGGAGACTTTACGATCAACAGAGTCGAACTCTGCCCTAAGGTCAAGGACTACAATAATTGTAGGACTTCCAAAAGTATGTCTATGTTTCAGGATCTGTTGAAGGGTGAATATTTGGTCTACACATTCACAACCAGATCTGAAACCAACCTAGTTTTCCCTAATTTTCTCTCCACGAGCTCTAATTAAACTTCGTAGTATTATTGAAGCTAACATTTTAGACATTATATTCGTTAAACTGGCTCCTCTGTGATTTCCACAATGGGAATTTTGTCCTCATAAACTAGGAGGATCTGCGATCGTGACAGGTCAGATGGGACTACATCCAGTTCCTAGATTTTAACTAAGACTCAGTTAACCTAACTGCCAAAACTGGACCATCAACCTGAAAAATCTCAGGGGTTAGTACATCAGTCCCTTCTGCTCCCCCTCTCTTTAGATTGCTTATAGCATTGTCAGTCAGGTTACTTGGAGATAATGAGTAACTGAAGTGTGACTGTAAGCCTGTTGAACTGTTACCCAAAGTGTTCTGCCCATCGGTTCAGTCTCCTGGATTGAAAGTGAATAATGGCCTCATCTTTCTCGAAGATAGTTTCATTAACAGCTGAATTTTTAATATACGTTTCTTTGATAAATCTGAAGAGTTGTATACTGTTACCTATCAGTGCTGTCTTTCCCATCGCTTCTGTTTTCGCTTCAATCACTGCTCACAATCACTACATACTCCTCATCGTGTTCAGAGCTAGATGGGATGAGTTTCCGAGCATCTATCAATTCTGTAGATATCACTGAAATCCACTAGTTTTTCCTAATCTTTTGGCTTAATTTACTAGTAGATATCACTGCTGTTCCCGTACCTTTTTAAACAGATCAAGCCACCTCAGAGTGGATATCATTTTCGTGGTTGATTAACTCTTCTAGTTGTCCCTAAAATACGTTCTTAAATTTTTCATCATTAAGTTGGAACCGAAGAGGTTTTATTGCTGTGGCTTTTCTACGTCCGGTAAGGCACAGACAAATACATACACGATCCGAGTCTAAATATGTGCTCCAGAATGAGCGACAGTCTTCAATCGAACCCCTCGGACGATGACTTGTAGTAACGTGGTCTATTTCAGTTTGTCGATCAGTTAATTGTGGAGGTCTCCACCCCAGACGATATTTTTCCTTATATTTCAAGTTGGTGTTTGCCAAGAATAGATACCTATGTAAACATAACTGCAACAGACGGTCGCCATTATCTGTTCACTGAACCACAACAGAAGCAGTCCTAGTGGCAACTGGATTGAAATAACGATGGTGTTTCTAAGAGACAACGGTATATTTAATGTATTGATTTCATATTTTACAAATGTAGGGGTATGATTTTGCACAATATAACAAATTGGTTTACTCTAACCAAAGTTTCGTTCATTACAATTTAACTGTCGTAAGCACTTTTCTCCAAATTATTACTTATTTTCGCTACAATGATTAATTAAATTTTTCTTTAACGCTCTCTTCACCAGATATTAACTGATTCTAAAAGACGTTGTAAAAATGCCATGGATCCATTGAATGTTTGCTCATCGTTATTTCCAATTAATACAAATTCTATTAATTGTAATGAAAATAACCCATTAACTGCTACCACTACTACTAATATCACAGCGACAACACCAACAACATCATCTTCGTTACTGTCTCATTCTTCTGTATCTATGGAAATATGTGATCTTATTGAAAATCTATTAAATAATCTTCTAGGTGCTGTCGATAACTGTGGTGGTGGTCAATCAGACTTAAAACATAAATTGAATGATTTATTGACAATATTTCAAAAACTTCAGTTGGATAATAAAGAATTTACTTGTTTGAAATTTATTGTTTTGTTTAATCCTTTAAAACATGGTAAGTGTGTTTTTATTCCAAGATTTTTTTCTGATTAATTATTCTTTCTCTCTTGTTTGATAATGAAGCATCCGCTGATGACCAACTCTACTAATTCGATTTGATTAGTTAAGTAGTATCAATAGCATAGCTCGTTGTTTTTCATAATCTCCAAAGCTCACTACCTAGTGTTATTTTCAATTATAGTCTCGGTAGATTTTTCAATTTCATGACTGAATGTCATTTCATTTATAATGATAATGATCATTGAGTTTTGATAAGTTTCAAGCTGATTGACAGAAAGCAGCTACAATTTGTTCGATTAAATAAACATTACCTAGAAAGTTAAATACTGATATTTCAATTAATGTAGTTAGAATAACATATTAATGATTCACTACTGAATAAGCGAAATAGCCCATTATCAATTTTAGCGCAGTTTAATAAATGTTCAGTGTATCTAGAATAATAACAATCTTGCAACTGTTAACGGTGTGACTTTATAACACTTGAAATAGTTTAATGATGTCATAAAATAGTTTATCCGAGTATTTCTAATGAGTAATAGTTAAAAATAACTTTTATCGGTAGTGGTATCTGACTTCGCGAATGTTCCCACTACATATAATCACTAGAAAGTGAATGATTTTGTTAATGATTTCGCTGAGTTGACTGTTTAATTCGATTCACTTAATTGGTACATTTTATTATTTTAAAATGGCTAAAACTACTCAAAGCTTCTTTAATACACGTACATTACAACGTTTGACATTTATTTCTCATGTCTTGAATCAATAGCTCAGTTCGGAACCATTATATCCCGATTCCGTTTTGACGTAAAATCACAGGTAGTCTGTTTATCTGTTTCCCTATAATCTTTATTAGACTGACTACTTGATATCATCTTGAGTTTTATGCAGAGATTTCAGTTTCTGTTCTTCGATTTATGATACTTGTACTGATCTATTGTTCAAATACTCGGACTATTCATCAACTTTAAACATACAACTTCATATATTTCTCCTGTAAAATTGCTTAATTCATTTATTGCATTTCTTTTGAATCACCTTTATTATCTTAAATTTGAGCAAATGTTAAATATCCTTTTAGTGTTCTTAACTAGAATATATTAATAATACTTAAAGCTAGTTCATGTATTTTTGTTTTATGTTCGTCCAATCAGCTCATGAATAGTCCGTACCCTATATAAGTTTTTTTTTCTTCAAAGCCCCATCATTTTGTAGCAGTCTAGTATCCTTGTCATATAAATATTTTCAGAAGGGGTTTGTGGAGATTTTTTAGAAATTTTCACAGATTTAAATCATGAGTCTAGCTTCAACTGACTCATGATTTCAATCTGTGAAAATTTCTAAAAAATCTCCACAAACCCCTTCTGATAATAATCATCTGCTCACTAGTGACTGACTTCAAGAGATACTCCTGGAGTTCTAGTGGGAAGCCGTTACCAGTGGAGTACAACCAGGTCTGTTGTGAGATATCAGCTCACTGAAGACAATGGTATATGGTGGCGCAACTTCGTGGATTGGTTGAAGTTAGACATTAACACCGTTGGATGCCGGCTCAGTGGTCTAATGGTTAAGTGCTCGCGCGCGAAGCCAGTAGGTCCTGGGTTCGAGCCCCGCGTGGTGTGGGATCGTGGATGCGCACTGCTGAGGAGTCCCATACCAGGACGAAACGGCTGTCCAGTGCTTCCAGGTTTTCAATGGTGGTCTAGCTTCAACTGACTCATGATTTCAATCTGTGAAAATATAAATATTTGATAAATATATGTAGAATATCTAGTCTGATTTGAAGTTACTTTTTTTCACTAACATAAGCTTCTTTAATATCCACGCGCTAATAATAATAATAATAATAATAATAATAATAATAATAATGTGTGTATATGTGTGTGCACTGTCGAATAAAGTAAAAACAAATGACCTTAGGAATATCTTACCGATAGTTTAGCAAGTTGACCTTAAAACAGTTGAGAATAGGGCTAAAGTAATTTGCTATGATTGTTATTATTTACTATCTTGTTTATTATCATTACTTTTTTTGAAAACTAAATTAGAGTACAATACGATTGTTGCTGTTTGCCTTTCTTTTCTTGTTGTCAGTGTTATTTAAGTCGAACAATAATAGTTTCGTCTTACTTTTAAGTAAAACTTATCCAATTTAAGAAAACCGAAAAAAGGCCAATCCAACACCCTCATCCCATTAAATGAATTAGTTCTTAAGATACATTAGAACCTACTACAATTAGAACGATGGATGCACACTAAGGTAGCATGAGCTTGGTTTATTTATTGGTACTTTTTTTCTCTGGAAAACATCCATTCGAAACCTCACCAAATAAGGGGACTTTCTCGAATTTTTAAATAGTCGACTTTTCTTCAGGATTTCTACTCTGATTATCCCCTTTAGACTCACTGTTAATAAATAAAATCTTCCGTACTGTATGAGCACTTTCTGTTCAGTTTTTCAGTTTCGGAAAAATATATCAGAGAAAATCATTTTCTGTAAGTATTCGTCTAATTATATTCAACTCATTGTCAGTTGTGCTCTCTGTGGATATTCGTCTAGCCCTCAAAGATACATGATTATGGAAGCTTGTTAAATTGTTCTTTCCGGTTTAGCCTCTTGCTTATTGATCTTTTTAAAGAACCATCTAGTCTTCAATTCAAAAGACTATCGAGGAAATGAAATTATGAGTTTTACTTCCAATTCTAGTGTGAACTTAATCGACAAGGTACAATTATTTAATACTTGTAAGATAGTATTGAGATTACTATTATTATTCAATAATGTTTTTATATTTGTGATAAGCACATAGAAAACATGTTATCTCTCTTATTATTTTTTTCAGATACCTTTCTAACATCAAACTTAAGTTATGCCTTGAAAATTCAGGGAAAATTTTGTCATTTCTTATTGAAACGTTCACGAAGATTTCTACGTTTAATAAATGAATCCAGTAAATCTCAAAAACTAGATCATGAATCACCAAATGAATTGAATACTCTTCTTTTACCAGATAGATATGGTCAAATTTTGTTAGAATTAGCAGAAGTTAAATTTCTTGCTTTCCAGTTAGAAAGTTTTTTACTAATGCGATATAGACTTGGTAAAATACCAAATGAAAGTTTATTAAGTGAAATGTTGTTAACAAAACGTAGTCGAGTATCACTTCCTGTACAACCATCTTATTGTAATCTGATGACATCATCAATGAAATCACCACCATCAATAACATCATCTTATGTAATACCAACATGTCAGTTTGCATATACCAATGTTAACTCAAAAGTCATTCCCATACCATCATTATCTACGGATGCTGATTGTCGATCAAATGATGAAGTGATAAAACATAATCAAGCTTCTTCATTATGTACAAATAATCTGAATAATGGTACTACAATGATGGTAAATGCTACAGGAAGCTTATCTACTACACCATTTACTTCTCCTATTCCTTCAACTTTCCCACTTACTTCTCTTCATTCGCCCACTTCTATTCCTCAATTCAGCAATAGAAATAACAATTGTAATAATAATGACGCATCGTTATTGAAAAACATTGATTCACAGTTGTCTTGTACAGCATTTCTCAATTCTTATACTAATTCTCCGTTATATACTCCAACTACTACAAATCAACTGGTTTATAATCATTATTTTATTAACATTGATGACCATGTTATTACTGCAAATAATATTAACAGATTTAATGAACAACTACACGAGTCCTCATCAACAGTGACAACAATGCCGGCGACAACAACAACAACACTCGTAAATCATGCCTCAATATTATCATGAAAAGCATTTATTCTTTTTTTTCTACTTCTCCTTGCTCGTCTATTTGTTGCTTTATTTGTAATCTTATATTCTTGTCTATTTGGGAAGGGAAAGAGAACTACAAGTAAGGCAGAAAGGACTGTTATCGTCTTTCCATCTGATATCATGCTAACAATAGAATTGTTTGCTTAGTACAATTAGTCCATTAGGTGGTAATTCTAATTGTAGTGTTTGTCAACATTTCAGTTACGTACCAATTAAACAAAAGTTGAAATATTTTAACTGAGTAAAATAAACAGTTTTCAATGATTTTCTTTAATACATGACCTTTTACTCTCATGTCGTGAGGTGAACAAAGTGAAGAAATGTGTGTGTGTGTGTGTGTGAAATGAAGGGAAAAATAGATAGTCGGACAAACAAAATATTAACAAGACTTGAATTTCTATTCTTCTCACCTATTATTAACATTATTACTACCAGAAACCTATTGCATAATACCGACAAAATTCTGAGGTAGATTTGATCAAATGAGAACATTTTCCATATGTATGGAAAGGTTATTATTGTTCCTGTCACAGTTATTGTTGCATTTAGAATCATATCATGCGTGTGTATGCGATTTCTCCCTAATTTTGTGCTACTCTCATTTCATTTCAGTCTTCTAATTTTCGTTTAATATATCGTATGTTGTGTTTATATTCATTCAAGTGTTAATAGTGTATATGTGTTGATATTGATCTAATATATATATTATGGTACTCATCTTTTGTCGTCAACATCACCATCATTGTTGTTGTTATCTCACTGAGACAAAAAAAATCGCTTCAGTTCCTCCCCCAACATTATCTTTCCAACTTCCCTACTCGTCTACCTATTATTTCCATCTTTTTCCACTCTTCTTTTATATGAGAAACTGTACAAGACAATCATTATCAACCATCAGGATTTTTGTTTTATTCATCGAGGAAACCAAACATTTTCATAATACTTTTGTCAAGTGTTATCTTGTCTGTAGTCGATTAAAGAAATAAATCAACTTGTAGGATGTAGTGAATAGTGTTTTTTGTGAAGAGTTTCATTAGTAGTTTTTTTCAATTATACTATTTTGATTATGTACAGAGGTATTTCATCTTTATTTTCTTTTGATCTGTCTACAATTAATTTTTAAATAGATGAATATAATAATTGTATGTCTATGATATATTGCCTTTATCACTTTCCTACCGGCTGCCAATCTCACGTCATTTCTACTTTTCTTCCGTTAATCTACCTCGAATATTTATATATTCTAATGTAATTATACCGTTAGTATGTAGATATTTTTTAGCTGTACTCCTTTTTTAATAAACATATATATTAGTTCTAGAAAATTCACCAAGAAATGCTCATTCTCCGGCTAGCACCAACTATCATCAGTCTTTTTTGTAGACAGATCGTCGCTCAATTTCTCTTATTTATACATTGTATTTAGCCAGTTAATCAATCTAGGACAGGATTTTTCTCCTCTTTATCCCAATGTCTTCTCTTCTGTTTTTGTGTGCTTAAGATATTTTGCTTTTTTCACATACCTCTACACAGTGTACACTATGTGTAAATATATTGCGTAGTTTTGTGTACAAATTATTTTCCTTGTTTGTGCGTGTATATATATATATATATATATATATATATACTTATTAGCCTGTCTCAAAAAATGCACCCAAGATATACACGCACAAACAAGGAAAATAATTTGTACACAAAACTACGCAATATATTTACACATAGTGTACACTGTGTAGAGGTATGTGAAAAAAGCAAAATATCTTAAGCACACAAAAACAGAAGAGAAGACATTGGGATAAAGAGGAGAAAAATCCTGTCCTAGATTGATTAACTGGCTAAATACAATGTATAAATAAGAGAAATTGAGCGACGATCTGTCTACAAAAAAGACTGATGATAGTTGGTGCTAGCCGGAGAATGAGCATTTCTTGGTGAATTTTCTAGAACTAATATATATGTTTATTAAAAAAGGAGTACAGCTAAAAAATATCTACATACTAACGGTATAATTACATTAGAATATATAAATATTCGAGGTAGATTAACGGAAGAAAAGTAGAAATGACGTGAGATTGGCAGCCGGTAGGAAAGTGATAAAGGCAATATATCATAGACATACAATTATTATATTCATCTATTTAAAAATTAATTGTAGACAGATCAAAAGAAAATAAAGATGAAATACCTCTGTACATAATCAAAATAGTATAATTGAAAAAAACTACTAATGAAACTCTTCACAAAAAACACTATTCACTACATCCTACAAGTTGATTTATTTCTTTAATCGACTACAGACAAGATAACACTTGACAAAAGTATTATGAAAATGTTTGGTTTCCTCGATGAATAAAACAAAAATCCTGATGGTTGATAATGATTGTCTTGTACAGTTTCTCATATAAAAGAAGAGTGGAAAAAGATGGAAATAATAGGTAGACGAGTAGGGAAGTTGGAAAGATAATGTTGGGGGAGGAACTGAAGCGATTTTTTTTGTCTCAGTGAGATAACAACAACAATGATGGTGATGTTGACGACAAAAGATGAGTACCATAATATATATATTAGATCAATATCAACACATATACACTATTAACACTTGAATGAATATAAACACAACATACGATATATTAAACGAAAATTAGAAGACTGAAATGAAATGAGAGTAGCACAAAATTAGGGAGAAATCGCATACACACGCATGATATGATTCTAAATGCAACAATAACTGTGACAGGAACAATAATAACCTTTCCATACATATGGAAAATGTTCTCATTTGATCAAATCTACCTCAGAATTTTGTCGGTATTATGCAATAGGTTTCTGGTAGTAATAATGTTAATAATAGGTGAGAAGAATAGAAATTCAAGTCTTGTTAATATTTTGTTTGTCCGACTATCTATTTTTCCCTTCATTTCACACACACACACACACACACATTTCTTCACTTTGTTCACCTCACGACATGAGAGTAAAAGGTCATGTATTAAAGAAAATCATTGAAAACTGTTTATTTTACTCAGTTAAAATATTTCAACTTTTGTTTAATTGGTACGTAACTGAAATGTTGACAAACACTACAATTAGAATTACCACCTAATGGACTAATTGTAATAAGCAAACAATTCTATTGTTTCTTTTTCTTATATTTCCCATTCTTATAAATTTATTGATTCTGGATTGCATTGTTTCTTTAGTAGTCCAATTGCTCTTACCTCCTCCTTCAACTCTCCTTTGTGTACTTATACTTTTTCCCTCATTGTTTATTAGGTAAAAGTGTGCGTTAACATTGGACTGAAGAGACCACGCCTCTTGTTTTATTCCTCCTGCTTTATCTTTCTTGTCATCTGTTTCTCTCATCTTTAACATATATATACTTTTTGTTCAGGCAGCTATACACTTATCTACCTATTGTTGAAAAAGAATTCGACTTTTATAATAGCGATGGTGATTATCATACTCATGTTAAGATAATCTGAGGTAGGCAAGTTAACTCTTCATTTTATTTTTCATATTGTAACTCTTTCCCGCATTCCCTTTCTTTTGTTGCGGTGGTTGCCACATTCTCTTTTCCTGTTCAACCCCCTCTCAGTGTTGCTTGTTTGTGTTATTTAATATTTCTTTTTACTGTTATCATAGCTATCACTACTACTAGTATTATTATTATAAATGACTGTAGAAAAACGAAAAAATAAAATGAATTTTGTAAATAAATTTATCGCTTTGATTTCTTGAAGAAAGTACTGAACTCCCTGATATGTACATAGTTTTATGCATGTTTTTGTTTGTGTAAGTGATCATTCTTCCAAAAGAATCCATGATTAAAATTACTGAAACATTTGATTTGACTGAGGTAGTAAATTTCTTTGGGGTTGTTATTTCCACCAGTAACCAACTAATTGAATATATGCTAATTAATTCAAATTCTTAGTTATGCAAACTATATAATCAACAATTTCAGGTCGGTGATTATCTGAACTCTGTAGCTAAGTAAAGAATGCATCGAAGTTTTGGGGCAAATGGTACTTGGTCTGAGTTCAGTTATCAGAATGATTGTAGATACATCTAACTGACGAATTCCACTTGAAACGAAACCCGCGACCTGGATTTCGTTACTAACCACTATCAGAACTATTCAACCAGTATATTACAATTCGTTGCACGTAAAAGCGATTAGCCAGTGACTTTTTACTTCTGCTCATCATAGATTTTTGTATTGTCAGAGCATCCGTTGATCATGATTGCGATATTTGGTTTGAGGCTATAGTTCAAAAACTTCACATGAAACATATGAAGATCTTGTTTTGCATAATGCACAACTTTATGGCCACATGCATACAACTACTGCCAGGGAAGTCCTACTCACTACCTTCTCGCAACGAGGGTGTTGTTTTCGAAATTAAGAGGACAAAAAGCGAATGTCCGGCGCTTTAACCGGGTTGTTGGGTATGGAAGATCCACCTAAGGGAGTTGGAAAACCCTGATTCCAAACTAATGGTGTGCACGGGCTCCAGGATCCTAAGGAAACATGACGTATGAACCTCGTGTTGGTCATCGGCTACCATGGGACTACATCTGACGTTGCTCCAATACTTTGTGGATCGAAGGGTCCGAGTGTGGCCCCCTAAGAAAACCACCTGCCTCGATCTGGGGACCCGGACAATATTGCAGCCCACACACAAATCAAGTGACTTCTGTGGCGCATATGTATTCGGTGCCCCTTTGTTTATGTGTTTAAATAAACAAATGATAAATGATCTCAAAAGGAATGTAATTATTGAAGATCATTAATGCTCAGGTACATAGATCTATAACTGACCCTGTGAAAATTTGTGTACATCTGCGAATTTGGTCACAGATGTCTCTTAAGTTTTATTCGCATAATTTCGGACCACTTGGAGTTGAACTCAACTTACTAACCAAAAACGGTAAGGTGGTTAGTAATGTTGTGAATCTTTGTCGATGAAGGTGAT